AACCGGCTCCGCCCGGGAACCAATCGGAAGAGTCCTTTGTTCGCGCGCTTGTATTTCCCGCGCTAGTATTCAACAGTATGCATTAGGCTAGACAAGAATTTGGTGGTAAACTAGAATTATTTTGACATACAAAAAATTGCACTTTGATGTCTTACTGATTGAGGAATGATGAAATGTTTGTTTTAAAAGAAATAAAACTTTTGAATATATATATATATATATAAATAATTTTGTGGGTTTCTGTAGAGGTCCATCCCAGTCCGTAGACCTCAAGATGAGATGTTTAGTGTTGAGACAGTATTATTCAAGGTTGGATGATCAACTGCTAACAAGAGTGGCCTTCAATTGTCCCCATCAGCCATGTGATGTTACTGGCCTTGTTTATTTATTATTTATGTTGTTGTTTGTAGTAACAACAATTAAAGTGGCATTTATGAAACTATTTTCAAAACAAATGCTTGGGGAGGAAGTCTATGGACAATCTGGAACTTTACGAAGGGGGTCATTGACCTGAAGAATTTGGAGACTTCTGGTCTAGGAAAAATCCAAGGTGCCCTCAAGCTTTTAGATCATTTTTGGATGGTGGTTCTAGATTCTTCTCTGGGATCTTTGCTCTGGGATCTCCAGGAACCAACCCTCAGGAAGATGGATGAGGAGGAAGAGCAATGATTTATTTGGAGGTGTCCTAATGTTTGAGGCAACTGCCTAGCAGGAGGACCACTTGGAAATGTAGAACTGGGATGCCCGGAATGAGGACCCATCACGTCAAGTTCTGCAACGTAGTCAAAGAAACTCACCTGCACAACAGCATTAATGGAAAATGGAAGGAAGGAATGAGCAGTATTGAGAATGTTGACCAAGCTTATAGAAACAAAAGCTTTCTTAGCATCCAGGATATTTGTCTTATCTGACAACGTGTAGACCGCAAAGATGATGAATGAAATCTGTAGAGAAGCAACAAGAGAATTACAATTACAATAGCACAGTTGGGAGGGACCTTGGAGGTCTTCTAGTCCAACCCTCTGTCTAGGCAGGAAACCCTATACCATTTCAGACAAATGGCTATCCAGCATCTTCTTAAAGATTTCCAGTGTTGGGGCATTCACAAATTCTGGAGGCAACTTCTGTTCCACTGATTAATTGTTCTAACTGTCAGGAAATATCTCCTCAGTTCTAAGTTGCTTCTCTCCTTGATAAGTTTCCACCCATTGCTTCTTGTCCTGCCCTCAGGTGCCTTGGAGAATAGTTTGACTCCCTCTTCTTTGTGGCAACCCCTGAGATATTGGAAGACTGCTATCATGTCTCCCCTAGTCCTTCTTTTCATTCAACTAGACATACCCAGTTCCTGCAATCATTCTTCATATGTTTTAGCCCCCAGTCCCCTAATTCTCTTGGTTGCTCTTCTCTGCACTCTTTCTAGAGTCTCCACATCTTTTCTACATCGTGGCGACCAAAACTGGATGCAGTATTCCAAGTGTGGCCTTATCAAGGCATTATAAAGTGGTATTAACCCTTCATGTGATCTTGATTTTATCCCTCTGTTTATGCAGCCTAGAACTATGTTGGCTTTTTTTTGGCAGCTGCTGCACACGGCTGGCTCCCATTTAAATGGTTGTCCACTAGGACTCCAAGATCCCTCTCACAGTTGCTACTATTGAGCAAGGTACCACCAACACTGTACCTGGGTATTTTGTTTTTCTTGCCTAAATGTAGAATCTTACTCTTTTCACCACTGAATTTCATTTTGTTAGATAGTGCCCAGTGCTCAAGTTTGTCAAGATCCTTCTGTATCTTAAGCCTATCTTCTGGAGTGTTGGCTCTTCCTGACAGCTTAGAGTCATCCAAGATGTGGAAGTCATCCAGTCATCCAAGAGAAGAGGTGAAACCCTCTCAAAGCCCAATCATATGCCATTTTGGGCAGGTCAATCTGCACAGCTCACCAAAAAAGTGGATGACTGGAAAGACGCAAGAGAAGCTGAGAAGAGGAACTGAGACATCTTGAGAGCTTGAAGTTCTTGAGTTCGGATGCCCAGTACTTTGCTTAGGAAGTTCTTCTCCCAGCCATGGAGTTTGAGGACCTTCAGGGCACTGAGGATGGTGCTGGTCAGCCTTGCACGGCTGTCCTTATGCTTTATCTGAGCTTCCTGAAAGATGGAAATTCAAGTTTGTTGCACCAACAGGACAACTGGAATAGTAATATTTAGTCATACTTCTAATCATTCACAACATTACACACAGACGCAAACACACGAGGAGATCTGCTCAGCCCTGGCCATTTTTGCATTTCATAAGCTCTGAAGATCAACCCGAGGTGGCGCAGTGGTTAGTGTGCAGTACTGCAGGCCACTTCAGCTGACTGCTATCTGCAGTTCGGCGGTTCAAATCTCACCGGCTCAAGGTTGACTCAGCCTTCCATCCTTCCAAGGTGGGTGAAATGAGGACCCAGACTGTGGGGGCAATATGCTGACTCTGTAAACCACTTAGAGAGGGCTGAAAGCCCTATGAAGCGGTATATAAGTCCAACTGCTAACTGCTAACCCCCCACTCCTAATCATGTGTTTGACCTTGGTTGGTTGGAAGATCCATCATAGATGATTCATATTTCTCTGATATTATTAAGTTATATTACCTCTCGAAGTTCCTTTTGCTTTGTTTTACATTGTCCCAGCTGGCATGACTGAAGTGGTTTAAACATTGTAAATAAATTTATAAGGAAAATACACAAGGCACTGGCAAGAGTCATAGCTGGACAGACGTTGTCTACCTGAAACATTGAAATTACCCACTGGGCCCCAAATTTGTTCAACCTCAGGATCAAACATTTTATAAGAACCCAAAGCAAAATTCTGTATCCACCAGCAAATGATATGAAATTAAAGATATACGTCCATCAATGGCTTCCTTCAGTAGCTTCTGATTCTCCTCTGCTCACAGACAACAATGAAACAAACTATGTTCTGAGTTAGGAGTTGTGGTCCTTATCAGCGTTCCCACATCTGGAAGGCCTTCAGATGCATCAGACTGCAACTCTCAAGAGGTCTGGCTAGTGTGGCTTTTAGTTGTTGTCAGGGGTGGGACTTAGCCGGTTTGGACCGGTTCGGTCAAACCGGATGTTAATTTTACATCTGGTTCGCTGAACCGTTAGTTGGAAGAAATGGCTGGCCTCGCCCACCCTGCCCCTCCCCTCCCAGGAGTCTCCATGTAGCCCATTTTGATGCAAGGTAAGGGCAGGGCCCGCATGGAGGCTCTGGGAGGATGAAAAACGGGCTTCCCGGAAGTACTGGGAGTCCAGAAACAGACCCGTTTCTGTCCTCCAGAGCCCAAGGAAGGCCATTTTCACTCTCCCGGAGGCTCCAGAACCTTGGGAGGGCGAAAAATGGGCCTACCGGAAGTTCCAGAAGTCTGAAAATGGGCCTTTTTCCAGCCTCTGGAGCCTGGGAGAGGCTGTTTTCGCCCTCCCAGAGGCTCGGGCAGTAGTGCAGGAGGCTGAGTAGGCCACGCCCATCGTGGCCACGGCCACACAGCAACGGGCAGAGAACTGGTTGCTAACATTTTTTAATCCCACCGCTGGTTGTTGTTTGTAGGAATTCTTGGCCAACATCTTTGGAAGTCACCAGGGGATACAAAATCAAGCTAAGGAGGGAAATTAAATGTACTTATTTTCCAGAAAACGGAAGGGTTTTAGGTGCCATACCTGGAGCTGGCTCCTCTTCTTGCTGATCCCAAAGTTCAGAGGTAAGAGCACTAAAAATATGATAACCGCAGACAAGGCCGAGGGTCCTAGGAGCTAATGGATTCAGAAACCAGAATGTAAATGAAGAGAACGCAGAATATGTTTGTGCAGCTCTTTCTACTGAACAGTAAGGAAATGGCGTCGGAGTTGAAATATTCATGAGAAAGTTGAAAGTCTGTTTCCTTGGCTGAGCTTCTCACCATTTTTAATGAGCCAATGGAGACATCTAGTGGCCAGGTGAACAGAACCCGAGGGGTGATTCAATTATTTGAATATCAGTATAAGAGCCCTGATGGTGCAGTGGTTAGAGTGCAGTACTGCAGGCTACTTCTGCTGACTGTTGACTGCCTGCAATTTGGCAGTTCGATTCTCATCAGGCTCAAGGTTGACTCNCAACCCTTTGGCCTCTGCCTCCCAGCAATTTACCTCTTTGCAGCTACTTCAATAAGCTATAGCAATCCCTGCAGCCTGAAACAGCTGATGATCGGGAGGCCCAGGCTGAAACTGAAAGTGAAACTTGCTGTTTGCTTTACAAGGCAAATTGCTAGGAGGGAGAGGCAGATTTTTTCTTCTTCTTGTGCTAATCAGGTAGTAATAATAATAGTAATGAGAATATAAAATAAAGGAAAAAAACCCAGTATAGATGTGGAGTCAAATTACATTGAAATCTAACGAATTGCCGACTTTCTGACCGACAAGCTCAGCATCTTAGCCACTGAGCCACAGCGTCTTTAGTCTTTTTGATGAGTTTCCATCTGTGCTTCTTCTCCTGCCTTCAGGTGAATCCCAACACCTGTTTCACTTAGCAAGAGAAATTTGGGACTCGAGTTGTGGTTGTAAGGCGAGGACTACCTATAATCTGAAACACAACATTCCTCTTGTCCAGAAAGTCCAGGCCATTACTCATCCATTCCATGATCTCCGAGTTTCTCTCTAATTTCTTGGGTTGTGGGATAATTGTATTCGCGTAATCAGGGTGGCCAGGGATCCGACCAATGGTAGAATTTGAATCTCCAGGAGGACCTTGGGAATCCTGAGATGGGATGAGAGTTCCACCTGACCTAAAAGTTGCATTTTGTTCTCCTGTTTCATAGAACTCCACGAAAGTGATGTTCAAGTGTTTGTGGAAGAGCTGTGGGAAAGTTCTCAGCAGTTCCTCAGGGATGCAGAAGCACATCCGAGCCATTCACCTGGGGTAGGTCAACCTCTTGATCGTTAAAGGCGCTTAATGATAAATGCAAAGGCGTTTCCCTTTTGAGCATTTGGTTGTTGGGCATTTGTGGCCCATGTGCCTCTGGGAAATAGCAGTTAGACTTATATACCGCTTCATAGGGCTTTCAGCCCTCTCTAAGCGGTTTACAGAGTCAGCATATTGCCCCCAACAATCCGGGTCCTCATCCATTTTCAATTGTGGTACAACTCCCGCAGAGAGAAAACTACAGAAGTTTGCGTGAAAATCTGGGAATTTTGCACTTTGCAAGGGAAATAAATACTGTGAAAGTCTTTATAATTGATTATAGTTTTCCTGTGTCTTTGTGGAGGGGGTGGGGCACTAAGGATAAGAATAAAAGCTGTAGGCCTTCCAGAGGTCTCCATCATTGATGCCCATTCTGAGCACCTCCAATAGGTTGAATTTCCCACCCTTTCTGGCCAGCCGTTGATCTGTCCAAGAACATTCCAAGAACAGCGGGATTGCATTTGCTCTTGTTCTGCTTGGA